TATAGATTAAAATTATTGCATGATTATATACATCTTTGTCAGCAATATGGCCAACAAGAAAAAAGTCATAAAATGGTTTTGATTTTGGTATGTTTTGTTTAAATTAAACATTCCCATAAATACTGTTTTTTTTAATTTTTGTTTGATCAACTGAACTTGTTATTAAATGGGGTAGGGTTGTTAACTCAGGACTCAAAACTCTGAATTCAGGGAAAATCCAAAACAACAACCCAGGTTGCAATCTCCTGAGTTGCAGAATTTTGTACCAATTGCAGACACCAACTTTGTTCTACGGGTTGGGATGTTGCAAAACAATCATCACATGAATTTCAACTCTCATCAGCAATCAATGCCCATATGGTAACAACCAACCTGGTCTGAGAGGGAGATAGGGAATGTTTTGTCCAAAGCCTTCCAGCATGTAATCGACTTTACCCATAGGAAAAAATTCCATGGTTATAAGGGATATTTGCGTGCTTGTGATAGGAAATTTTAATTAAATCTGACACCTGAAATCAACATCAGATTTATTTTTATTAAATTATAAGATTCTTGTCAAGATGATAATGAATGAATGATTGGCATTTTGCTTTTTGTAATCAATAATAATATTATTATATTATTATAATCATAAATGTCAAGGCAGTACAACTGAAACAATTCAATATGCAACATTTGATTATTGGAAATTTTACAGATGTTGAAGCATGCATGCTACTTTTACAGTCATACTCACATATTTCTCATGTACATAAGGCTAATCTGACCAAGATTTCCATGAGGATATGATGATGGTTAAATTCCAGGGGGGGGGGCGCATGGCCCTGGAGTTATCAAGACTGCATCAATTGTCAATGATGTTTCCACTAATCTTCCCAGACCAGAGAAGGCTGCTGACACACTAGCTGAAAAGTTGCCTGCAATGATCCTACTCTAGGGTAAGGCTGGCATTGTGTCCAAGTTGCAACTCTGGAGGAATATTAAGAGAAATTGCAGCTTGTTCAAGCATGGGAGGTCACAATTCAGAGCAGGGTTGGTGGCCCTGAAATTGCATTTGGACTCTGATGTTAAGAGGAACAATTTATAATTTTGGGTATGTATAGATTAAAATTATTGCATGATTATATACATCTTTGTCAGCAATATGGCCAACAAGAAAAAAGTCATAAAATGGT